CAAATCGTATATTTTCCTTTTCTTCCATTACATGTGTGCGATATATATAAATATATAAACTATGTTACATGCGTTATATGCGTCTCTAATTATTTTTCCCTAGCAAATTTCAATTGAACCTAAAGCCGCCACGTCAGTTTAATTGATATGCTAATTGATTGACAACTAAGCAAAGTTACTTTTTAATTAATACAAACTTAAGGTTACATCTTTTCAAATGTTTCTCAATTAATATATAGGGGATTAATAGATCATCAGATGATCTCATTGTGTAGTTAGATGATTTAATTAGAGAGTAGAGACGAACACTAAAAGGGGGAAGGGAAGGAAGGATCTAGAAACATCCCCCTTCTCCTTTCAACTTTTTTACCTTTTTTCCTAAATACAAACAAACAAACCCTAACCCCTTACTCATCACTCTCTATATTCAACTTTGCTACTGAAGAGGACTCTCCACTCGAAGGGTTTCCAGAAAAAGACAGAAAGGTGCTTACTTTATTGCATTTTGTTGTTTAGGTTGTTCGTAATTATAATCTCCTGGGACTTGGGTTACTTTAGTGTAAGAGATTGATTCACGATGTCGCAAGAAAGAAAGAACACATCTTTCGTCCTTTTGAAGTAGTTGTTTCTCATCTCTTCGTTGCTCAAATCCCCACATTATTTGGATTTTGTCTGTTAGTTTGATAAATCGATTTTCATCTTACAACCAGATTTGCTGTTTTGTTTTTGGTTAAAAAGCTGACTTCTTTGTTTTTGGCTATTGAACAAACAGTATGGAAGAAGAAACGACGGCGTATTGGTGCCACACGTGTTCTCAAACAGTGACTCCGGTAACGGAAGATGACCTCAAATGCCCCTTTTGTCAAAGCGGTTTCCTTGAAGAGGAACAACAACAACAACGAGAGGACACCAATGTTCACAGACCAATAGATTCCATCTTGACTCCAATCTTCATGGAAATGATGAACAATTCCGCAAGGAACCACCCTGGAGCCGATATGAATTCACATCTTCAAGAGATTCTTAGGAGAAGGGGAAGACGTCCCGTTTCCCTTGAGCAGCTGTTTCAGGGGATATATGCTGGCTTAACACTTGCACCTGACACTAACAACGCAGATGATCCTGATGATGCTGATAGAGAGAGAGGACGCGTGATCGTCACCAATCCCTATAATCAGATTGTCGCTGTTCCAAGCTCTGCTGTTTCTGACTCTCTGCCTCCTCTTGTTCCTGGTCCTCTCAGCGAGTACTTCATCGGTCCTGAATTCGAAACGTTTCTCGAGAGTTTAACTGAGACTGATCCTACCAGGTATGGAACACCTCCTGCTCGGAGAGAAACTGTTGAGGCTTTGGCTAGTGTCAGAATCCAAGAGGCGGGGCTGGAGTGTTCTGTGTGTTTAGATGATTTTGAGGTTGGAACTTTGGGGAAACAGATGCCTTGTAAGCACAGGTTTCACAGTGACTGCTTGCTCCCATGGCTTGAGCTTCATAGCTCCTGTCCTGTTTGTAGGTATCTGCTACCAACTGCTGCGGAGGATGAGACAATGACGGATTCTGTAATAACAGAGACAAATGGTGGCGATGGAGGTGGTGGGTCTTCTTCTACAAGCAGCAGCCAGGGATCTGAGAGAAGCGACCAGGAGGAGGATCGCATGGTTGCTTAGCAGCAGCACCTGGTTCTCAAGATAGCAGATAGGCATAGGAAATTCTCTGAGTAAGAGAAGATGATGAAACAAACAGCCAACGGTTCTACTACCATAAGCTGTTTTTTTTTCTTTCTTTGGTCTGTAAATAAAGGTTCTAGAATTTGGTTGAATTCTAGCTCTACTACTCTTTGGAAAACAAATCTACATTTTCTGACTTTTTAATGGTTTTTAATACTTTTTGGGGGAGTTCTCTACAAGTCGCTTGTGGTTTTCTCTTTGTCAACTAAATCTGACTTTTTAAAGCCAAATTCAGTATTGACAAAAAAAGGCCAAGTTCAGTATTTGTTTGATGAAATTGGTGGTTACTGTTCATGGTGAGTAATCGCAATTAAATTAGTGACAATTAGTAGAAACATGACAACGTTCATCACCAATTGCATGTAAAACATGCTCTTCTTCAGGAAGATAATATAATCTAAAGTTGTTACTTCTTTTGTTAATTCCCTGGACGCGTTACTATGTCATGTTTACGCGTGAAGGTTAGTTGAAATTACATTTAAAAAAGCTAAAATGTAATGAGTTCACAAGGAACGAAATTTTCTATTCTGAGGTGCAGCATTGACGAATTTCATTTATATGTATAACTATATATGAACACGGTACCAAATTTTCTTGTCTATATAAGTAGAGAGTTGCCCCTTACTATAACATCATTACCTCTTTCTCTCTCACATATTAATCTTAGTAAGAAGAAAATGAAAGGAACAAGTCAGCTTATGCACTTGATCACTTTGATTCTTCTCGTACTCGCTGCTACGTGCACCACAATCACTATGGCCCGAACCCTGCCCAGTAAGTGACCACCCTATTGAAATTCCACTCCTAATACGAAAATTCACCTATTCACTTTTTTTTATCTCCAACAAAAATCCATATTCATCACTTTCTTTTTAATTATCTCATAGCTGTGTTTTTTTTTTTTAAATTGAAGGGGAATCAAATGGAACTCACGTGTTAGCAAATTTCAAGAGAATTGGTGTAAAAAAAAGTAAATCGCCGCAGGGTCCTAAGGCTGGGCCGCCTAAACGCGGAGGAGTGAACTAATCTAATGATTCGGAACCAATCAATGGTTATATTATGTCTTTTAGGATAACTGGCAGTCTTGTATTGTAATCATTTACTAAAATATTTGTTTGGTTACCAACAATGTTTTAAGTTCTAATACTACTATTTGAGATTTGGATGATAATATATAAAACTATCGTTTAAACAAAAATTCCATATGACCAATTTTAGTGGATTGTGTTTTGCTGATCAGTGATTGCTAACAGGATTTGGAACTACACCCAATTATCGATCATACTTAGGATTATATTATATATTTCTTAAGTACATAACAGTGATTTTTGTTCTTCTCTTTGTTATGTATCGTTAAGATATTAACAAAAAATCATTAAGGTATTAACAGTCAAAACTCATACACAACAGGAAAACATACTAGGAGTGGTCTTTCACCTGTAATTACTGCAAAGGCAGTAATATTAGATTGGTCGACATGTTTTCCCAGAATTGCCCCCATTCGACATAAGATACTAGGAGTGGTCTTTCACCTCTGATACCCTCTGGCTTTCTTCATCTAGTCATAGGTGCCTTGTTTTATTATTATCTTAAAGAACTCCCTTTATGTTGCTCAGTACGCTCGGATTGTTCAAAAGCTTAGCTTTCCTGCAAAGTTCAAGGTACTCACTACTCATATACCCTATGTTATCACAGTATTATTCCGAGCAGGCAGTTCTTTTTCTTTTTCAATGAATGAAGAAACTACATATACGATCTAGTAATGAAATTCTTGTTTGCAGGAATGCAAGATTCAGAACACTGTAGGCTCTTGTGATGTGAAGTTCCCCATTAGACTTGAAGCTCTTGCATACTCTCATAGTGCTTTCTCAAGTGTAAGTGATAATCTGAAGAATTGTATATCATTGTCGTTGTAAGATGTATATAATTGGTCTGAATCTCTCTCTGATTATTGGATATATACCAGTACGAGCCTGAACTATTCCCAGGACTGATATATAGAATGAAACAGCCAAAAATAGTACTACTCATTTTTGTGTCAGGAAAGATTGTTAGAGCACCAGCACCCCCCTTGAAGGTTCTCAATGGGGATTCACACGCAAATCGAAAAAACAAATATAAAAATATAGTTTCAATGAACCTGCATCAGAGGAGTTCATGGCTATGAATCCGTATCATGACAAATCGTGGGCCCCACTGACACGTGGCTAACCACAATTGGTTGGTTTATTAATTCTTCTTTTTTTTTTAGAAAATTCAAACGAAAAAAATATTAAAATAATCGAAAAAATGGGGTTCACAACAGTTTCACCGATGTGGATGCCCTTATAACTGGAACCAAAGATAAAATAATGCTACTTTCTCTCAAAAGATTAAATAATTTTCTTTTCATGAAAATAATCTAATGACATTTTGGAGGTTACGCTATCAACCTTCTTTATTCCTTTGTGCATCTTGTAACAAAACATGTTCACGTTTGGATTGCCATGAACTACAGAGATCTCGGTGGTGGTATCAAGCGCTTGACGAGTTTTGGTTCAGATTGAAAACCAAAAATTGTAAATACAGAATAGAGATTCCTACGTTTCTTCAAGTATTTTCTTGTTTCCTGTAATGTTTGTTTTAGTGGGACTTATACCCAAATCATTAAAGAGTAGCTTAGTACGTCTCTGCTAACCGTCACGGATCTTATACTTTCAAGTGAGATTTAAATATACTTATAATAATACAATATTTAATAGGCCTTAATCCTTGAAAGACTATAAAAGTATTGGGCCGAAAGTTGTTAGCTTCACTAATGCTAGAAGCTAAGGGAACGCTGCTAAGGGCACCTGCAACGGTGCTCCTTAAGTGATCCTTAGCGCTTAATCTTAGGAGGATGGTAATATAATAATATTAATTAGCTAACATAATCGAAGGATTGCCCCTTCGGTAAGGATTTATTTGGGGTAATCCTTGTGTACGTGTCACGAGATGAGTGGAGAGGCGTTTGCCTTAGGGAAAAAAAGAATATCATTTTTGAGCAAACCAGAAAAAAAAACGAGTCGAGAGAGAAAGGGCGATTGGGAAGGCGATTGCTCACCGAAACTTAAATCAAGGTAAATCGAAGCTTAAAGTTGAATATATGTCGATTTAGATCGGTTATCTACTTCTTTCCTCTCTTGTTTCCTCTCAGTTGATTGTGTTTCGATCGATTTTGTATTGGTCGAAAATCTAGGGTTTCAAAATTTTTGGGGTTAAATCGATTTGAGGATAAAGTGCGTCTGTAGATAGGGTTTGGGAAGGATTTTCGATCTAACTGGTTTCAATTATCGCTTATTGGCTTTTGATTTGAACATAGTTTGTTTCTTTTTCTAAATTGGTTGTGTATCTTTTGTTCTTATAGATCGGTGTGGATTACTTTCATAACTATTTGTGCTTTCGTTGGTTGGTTTGATGATGATTATTCGTAGGTTAACTTTGTTCTTTACTGGCGTGTGATTTGAACATAATTTGTGATTCGAACAAATTGATTCTTTTCTAAATTGGTTGTGTATCTTTTGTTCTTATTGATCGGTGTGGATTATTTGTTCTTTCGTTGGTTGGTTTGATGATGATTATTCTTAGTTTAACTTTGTTCTTCTACGTCATTCATTTCAGGTTAACGATAATGGGTCAAGACTACAGCTATAGTCAGCCTTCATCATCATCAGCATCACTGGACATAACATCCATTCTTGAAGCCGAAGCTAAGATGTACGCGGATGAAGCCACAAGCAGCTACAATGCACAACCGGCTGAGTACACACTTGTACCTGAGGCTGATGAAGGCATACCTAGGACATGTTACTGTGGCGGTGATCCTATTCTCCGATGCTCCTACACTGGCAAAGATCCATACCGTAGGTATTTTACATGCCACAATGTTGATGATGGCGACTGCCACATATGGAAGTGGTTTGATGTGGCAGCTATTGAAGAGATGAAGGACTTTCAGAGGCAGCTAATGAAGCTTAAAGAGCAAGGTAAAGACAATGAGCAGAAGCTTCTTAATCTTGAGAAGACGGTTAACGAGCTATCAAAGAAGAAATCAAGTGCTACGCAAATGGTCTGCCTATTTGTTGTCATTGGTTTGGTGTTGCTGCTTATGCGTGGGTAGTTTCTGTCCTTTTCTCATTGTAGTTATGTATTATTATAAAAACTTTTGCCTCATTGTTGTCATGTTTTTCAGGAGTTGTTACAAAAGCTTCAAAGGAGGCCGAACCTTCGGAGTTTCTGCAATGAAGGTGCGAAACTCTTTCTTTTTATTAGAATTTTATTAGCTATTCTTACTTTCTGTTTTTGAATTTAAGTAATTTTTACTCTTTCTTTTTTGAATTTTAAAACCACTTTAGTACTTCCTATCTGCTCTGATTTGATGTGAGTGTTGTTTTGTTTAGTTTTAAGACATTTCTCGTCTAAAATACAGAAGTATTTAGGTTGAATTCAAAAAGTACTTTACGAAAACTTGTCATTCAATGATAGTACTTAGAGTTAAATGAAGTATTTTGGTTTCTATCTTCATATCTACCCTGACTTGATTGGCTTTAATTACGTTAGAGTTAAATGATAGTTGTTTGCTTTCTACCCTCCCAACTCCTCCGATTAGATTTGCTTTTATTACTTAAAACCTTCTCTACTTAAGGCTCTGTGTCACTACTCGACACAGAGAAACCTCTAACCATGGCTAACACGTCTAGCTATGTTAATCTTTTAAATAGTCAAATTCCAATAGACCTTGAATCTGCCGAACATATTTGGTTCGACAGCCAAGTTCCTGACGAGTCCGGTGACAAGCAGAGGAGGAAATGGTCGCCCCAAGAGGATAAAATCCTTATTGGTGCTTGGCTAAACACCAGTAAGGACCCTGTCACCGGTAACGAGCAGAAAGCGGAAGCTTTCTGGAACCGGATTCTTGACTACTACAATGCAAGTCCTCTGCTCGTTGGCACCGAACCGAGGAAGCTTCGTCCTTGCAAGCAGAGATGGGCCAGGATAAATGAGCAAGTATCAAAGTTTGCTGGATGTTATGATGCGGCCCTGAGGGTTGTGAGAAGTGGAACAAGTGATGATGATCTCATGCAGAAGGCGTTAGACTTATTCTTCAAGAAAAACAGGTACAAGTTCTCCCTTGATCACTGCTGGAGAGAGTTGAGACACGACCAGAAATGGTGTGCCTCCTTTCAGGCTAAAGACAGTGGAAAGGATAAAAGAAAGGAGGTTGATGGAGAAGACTCGGATGTGAGAGAACCAGAGAGTCGACCTATCGGGGTTAAGGCCGCGAAGGGTCAATCTAAGAAGAAGAAGAGTGTTAGAGAGGCAGAGTTGACAAAGCTTCAGGCTGTTTTAGAAACTAAAGAAAAAGTGTCTAGGCATAAAATCCTTGAGCGTTTACTGGCGAAGACAACGCCTCTTTGTGAGATGGAAAACACTCTCAAACTCAAACTGATGTCTGAACTTCTGTGATGTCGTGTTGAGGTATTAAAATAGTTAAGTGTTGCTAGTCTTTAGGCTGTGTTTTTTAGGGTACTTAATTCGTTTTTAGGCTAGACTTGTTTTGATGTTGATATTTTAGAGTTTAAAAGTTTGTGATGGTGATATACTTGTGTTTTGATCTTGATGCAATAGAGTTTAAAAGTTTGTGATGGTCATATACTTGTTTTGATCTTGCCTTGTTTATAGTTTAAAAGTTTGTGATGGTGATATAGTTGTCTTTTGATCTTGATACTTTAGAGTTTAAAAAATTGTGATGGTCATATTCTTTTAGAGTACTTATTGTTTTCCTGTTTGCTGTGTCAGGTACGCAGAAGGCATGTGAAGAAGGACACGGGAGTGCATTTGGACGTGTGAAAGTATGTTGGTCATGTGAGCAAAGTCACGGGTGTTTCTGTTTCGTTTCATGTATTATATAAGTAGTCGGCATGTTTCTCTCTAGCTATGTATCTCGTTTATCAAATATGTCTGAACTTCTATCCTTTTTGATTCCTTTAGCCTCATTGTTCTTCTGTTTCTCGGAGAGGCTGGAATCTGTAGACATGATGTAATATTTTGGTACGAAAACAACAAGAACTTGTTTCTCTTCCTTCTCCTCATTTCTTTTGTTTCACAAAACAAACTTGAACTTCTATAATTTCAAAATCTGGATCGAAAACAACAACTTGCTTCTCTTTACTTTCATTGCTTGGTTTACACAAGCTGGTACGCAAAACCCACGCAGCTCTATCTATCACGAGTCCGACTCCCGTAGGTAAACACTGATGACTTCTCTGAATGTTGGTAAAGAATTACAATAGGAATGTTGGTATATTGAATAGAAAATTAGATCTTGTGCCGTAAAGAATTACAATAGGAATGGTGGTATATTGATTCTTGATAATACGAATGTTGGTATGATGGTTTGTAGAACTTTAAAATGATAGAACCATATTTAAAATTGATAATTATTATAAATGATTATTAAAATGATAGACCCATATTTTAAAAAAGAAATGATAATTATTATAAATAAATATTAAAATGATAGACCCATATTTTTAAAAAGAAATGATAATTAGTATAAATGAATATTAAAATGGTAGACCCATATTTTTAAAAATAAATGATAATTAGTATAAATGAATATTAAAATGATAGACCCATATTTTAAAAAATAAACGATAATTAGTATAAATGAAACCTAAAATGATAGAACAATGTTGCTAAAAAAATGGTTCTACCGTTATTAATAACCTAAAATGATAATCATTCTTAATAACTAAAACTTGGAACTATTTTAATTGGTTTCAAGGAGGGATACCTAAAGATGTCATCATCATCCGATGGGGTCGATGAAAAAATTGATGAAATTTGCGACGAAATTATCGAAGATACGTACAATGACATAATGGAGTATCAAACACATAAGCAAAGGAGACGTGCTTATATAGAACGACATCGTGAAGCAGGACATAACCGTTTATGGAATGACTACTTCAGCGAACAGTCGACATTCTCTCCACATTTATTCCGACGCCGTTTCCGCATGAATAAAGATTTATTCTTGCGTATTGTCTATGGCCTCTCACAGAACGTTCGATTCTTTCGACAAAGAAGAGATGCTACCGGAAGATTTGGTCTTTCTCCACTAGTGAAATGTACAGCAGCAATTCGTCTGCTTGCTTATGGTTCTGCGGCTGACACGGTAGACGAATATCTCCGACTTGGTGAAAGCACGGCACTTTCGTGTTTACACCATTTCACTGACGGAATAATACAGATATTTGGAGATGAGTATCTACGCAAACCGACACCAGAGGATCTTCAGCGACTGCTCGATATTGGAGAGAAACGCGGGTTTCCTGGGATGATAGGAAGCATCGACTGTATGCATTGGGAGTGGAAGAATTGCCCAACCGCAAGGAAAGGACAATACGCACGTGGATCAGGAAAACCAACAATTGTCCTGGAGGCTGTGGCTTCACAAGATCTTTGGATATGGCACGCCTTTTTTGGTCCTCCGGGGACATTAAACGATATTAATGTCCTCGATCGGTCTCCTGTTTTTGATGACATTTTCCAAGGCCGAGCTCCTACGATACAGTTTGTGGTCAACGGACACATGTATAAGTTGGCGTACTATCTCACAGACGGTATTTATCCCAAATGGTCAACCTTTATCCAATCTATCTCGCATCCTCAAGGACCTAAAGCAGAGTTATTTGCTAAAGTTCAGGAATCAACCCGAAAAGATGTCGAGCGGGCTTTTGGAGTATTGCAAGCTCGCTTTGCGGTTGTGAAAAATCCGGCTCTCTCATTAGACAAGGAAAAGATAGGGAAGATTATGAGAGCATGTATCATACTGCACAATATGATCGTCGAAAATGAACGAGATGGGTACACTCAGTACGATATATCTGAATTCGAAGAAGGAAACACAACGAGAAGTTCACGAGTTGATACCGACATGCCTACAAATATCCATAATTTGCTTGGCACTCGGAATGATGTTCATGATAGGCGTTTACATGAACGACTGAAAAATGATTTGATTGAAAATATTTGGAACAAGTTTGGTGATTGCTAATCATATTGTATCTTTATATTTTTATCATGTAATATTTTGTCATGTAATATTAAAAATCTTGAATCTTTATAATCATGTTGAGTAATATGATATGTTTCTTTTAATTGTTGTTTTATAAATTAAATTTTTTATTAACATTTTAAAAATAAAAACATTTTTTTATTACTAAGGATTCCAAAGAGAGACTCACCATTGGACACACCATTTAGTAAAAGATCCTTAACAATTTAAACAAAAAAAAAAAAAAAAATTAATATTAAAAGGCTAAGGACTCCATGGTGAGACTCACCATTGCATGTGCTCTAAGAGGTAAGCGAGAATAAGGAAAATAAAACCTTCAGGTGAAGAATTTCCTTACTCCTCCGCAGCTTCGCTTCTTTACTTCTTTGAATGTATACTTAAAACTCTTTTAATCATTTTAGCCTCTGCATTTCACAGGCTCAGTGTATATATGTGTATGAGAACTTTAGGTGAGTATCTGTTTTCATTCTGTTAATTGTAACTTTACTGCTGCCGCTAAAGGTCTTTGGTTTGTGATTCATGTGTTGTACTAGGATGGTGTCAACAAGCTTGCAGACCTAGTTGGTGTTACACTTGGACCTAAAGGACGACATGTTGTTCTTGAGAGCAAGTATATATGGATCACCAAGAATTGTTAATGATGGTGTCACTGTTGCTAGGGAGGTTTGTAGCGTCTTAAATTTTGAATCAATTAGGCTGTAGCTGCTGGTGCAAACCCTGTATTGACCACTACAGGCATTGAGAAGAAAGCAAAGGCTTTGGTTGCCGAGCTTAAGAAAATGTCTAAGGAGGTTAACCACAATTTTTTTTATAAGAATCTTTTTCTTTTAATACGTGACGAGTCAACGTATGATTGCTGAAAGTAAGTCATGTCTGATGTAGGTTGAAGACAGTGAACTTGCAGATGTGGCAGCGGTTAGTGCGGGTAGCAATGCAGAAATTGGAACCATGATTGCTGAAGCAATGAGCAGAGTGGGCAGGAAGGGTGTGGTGACACTTGAGGAGGGTAAAAAAGCCGAGAACGCCATGAGGTAACTGTTCCTTGATTCTGAGCTCAGTTAGCTGTTAAATGTTCTAGGCATATACTTAAGCCATTACAGATGTCTATGTGAGTAAAATAAAGATATATTATGGATTTATTGTGTTGCATTTGCTTCTTGTTGACAAGAAAATTACCAATGCTAGGGATCTTGTTGTTGTTCTGGAGGATGCGTTTAGAGGAGGATACCCAATTTTAATAACCGCAGAAGACTTTGAGCAGGAGGCTTTAGCTACCCTTGTCGTTAACAACTTAAAGACATACTGAAGACTGCAGCTCTCAAGGCTCCAGGATTTGGAGAGCGCAAGAGCCAGTACCTTGACGATATTGCCATTCTCACTGGAGGGTAAGCTCTCTCTGTGTAAATTGTTTAAGCATAATACATGTTAGTTTTAATCTTGTCCTATCTTTCTTATATGTGCTTGCAGCAACTGTGATTCGTGAGGAAGTTGGTCTTTCACTGGACAAAGCTGGAAAAGAGGTTCTTGGACATGCCGCAAAGGTGGTCCTCACAAAGTAGACATCGACCATTGTGGGTGATGGGAGCACACAGGACGCAGTGCAAAAACGTGCTACACAAATTAAGAACCTTATTGAAGTATTAACTTAGAGCAGAGAAAGTATGTGATCTCTACTACTTTTAGTCCATAGCGTCACTTACAGTAATATGGTATTTGGTTTGTGCAGTAAGCAGAGCAAGATTATGAGAAGGAAAAACTGAATGAGAGAACTGCAAAGCTTTCTGGTGGAGTTGCTGTGATTCAGGTTAAATTACAAACCACAATGCTGCAACCGGCAAGTATGAAGATTTAATGGTTGCAGGAATCATTGATCCAACAAAAATAATAAATTGTCTTCACTGAGCTAAATTTTGGTCATCAGAGAACTGAACTTGAGTGTGTGCTTTGTCTGGAATTTTAGGTTGAGAGATGTTGCTTGGAATACGCAGCTTCGGTTGCAAGGAAATTCTTGAAGTCACACTGTGTTGTTGAGATAAAAGAACCTAAGCCAGTTCCCGCAGGCAACCCAATGGACAACTCAGGTTTGTTCAGACATTCATTGAAGATCCACCTAAATTCATGTCTCACCACTGATTCTATTTAATATTGTTTCAGGATATGGTACTGAGGAGATATGGGATATTAAGTAACTCTGTTAGAACTGATTCCTTTTAGCTTTGTAATAGATGAGCAAGTGTAATGATTTGAACAAGAGAATGTGCTGTATTGAAATTTTGAACCCTTCGTATGAATAAACCGTATAATTCCTTAGTATTACAAAGTTACAAACCATTAAGCTAACTTGCAACTGATGCTTCTTTCATCTGGTGTTGGCTTAGAACCTAATACGGACCCAAACCTCTGTGTATTGCTTCCTCATATTTTTACCATTCCTACTAGATCCAATTAGAGATACAAAGTCAGTACTCGGCTTATGCGTGTGTTATCTATACATTTAGGCTAACTCACTAGAACACTTGAGGATTTTACTTGGAAAACTGTAGCCCTTCATGAAGATCTTCCTCCCGTTGAGCTTTCTGCTCTTTCTTCCTCAAATAGTTTTGCATCTACACCCTCATATTAACATGCCACCATACATTACTTTTTTGTGTACCATCAACAAAACTTTTAAAGAAGGTTCCTCTATAAAAATAAGTTTTCTTTTCAACCGTTCTTCATTTGAATTGAAACAATAATAACTTTATCATACCTATTGAGGTTAAAAACAATTATACCTCAAACAAATGGTTTACTCCCTCTTCACCAATATGTATAACAAACTTGATAATTTAACTTTTCAAGTACAGATCATAACAATTTGATAAGTTAATTTTCAAATACAGATAAAATGTTATTTATTGATCCAAGATCTTATCAAAGTAACAAATGGTTAATAATGACTATTTGTTAAGCTGTGTTAATTTATTACCAATAATATAGTTATAACAAAAAAAAATATTAACATAATATTACAAATTTAAAATCATCTACCCCACAACTCAAGAAACGATTAGTACTAGAACTATCAATAAAAAAAACTTTTTGTTAAATTTTATAACAGATGTTAAAGTATTGGTTCTTCAAAAGAATCAGCTTTAACTTTCAGTACATACTGCACAAAGTCTTCACAACTCCCACTACTTTACCGTTGACATTCACAAGTGGGACCTCCAAAGGTGCCTTGTCGAGAAGAAAATTGAAATTTGAATTCAATTAGTATCTACAATTACATGGCTACTACAAGTTGCTTCATATAATACCTAATAGTTTTTTTTGGTACTGCTTGGGTTCTCTAATCCAATTAAAAATGGACATTTATCACACGGATTTAGGTGAAAATGTGCACAAAGTTCATTTCATAGAGTTTGAGAATGAGAGGAGAACAAATCACAAATTCCAATGAATCAACTATGATAGTCTATGTTGCATGGAAGCTTTAGGTGAACAAACATGAAATCAAAATATCATAGTCAATTACTAGACAACATTGAGAGTTTTGGAACAAAAAAAAGTTTGGATTCCAAAAACAAAACTTTCTAGATACTGATATTAGTATCTAGGGCCATTTCAGTCCCAAGTAAACTAGTCTTCATACAAGCAATCCTAACCTCGAGTTGATAATCATCTTCCAAAGGACTCCCATCTTTTTCCATGACGTCATCCTCTTCAACATCTACCTCCATGAGAATGTAGCAGAACCTTAAGTTCTTTGGGAAAATAGAACTTCAAAAATCTTCCACACCATTCAAAATGAGCAATAAGTTGTTCCTTGATGACATGTAATTCCAACTCTTTGTTGTATCCACCAATGAAGAAGATGCTACGATGACTACGAACAACAAAACACTAATATTAATTGAATTTAAACTGAATATTAAAATAAGAAAACATTGACTGAACGTTCAAGTTACGCATCACCACTTACACCAATATTGATAGGTTTGCGAAGAAGTATTTCACCATTCAATTGCATTATTTTAAACACAAGATAATTTATTGTTAGAGAAGACCATAAGTACAATGAAATTGTAAGAAAACGGGAACACTCACGTCTTTGACATCAACATAAACAGAAAAAGCAAACTTAAACAAGACATTCTTCATTGCACTACCACGTGAATGATCTACGATTTCTGGTTGTCACCAGCCGAATGCCTAATTATTTCAGCATAGATGTCAGCAACTAAAGATTCAACAGAGAGACGGGTAACATGGATGACAATAACTTAGTGAACAAGAAATACACAATAAAAATCATAGAAAGGGTAAATTGCTATCACTGCTATGGTTCTATTTTTTAAAGATGATATTCTTCACTAGTCTTCTCCTTTTATAGTTTTCTGAGTCTTTTTCATTCAATGTGTATTGATGCTTTTAATTTATACGTTGTGATTCTCCGGATTCTAAATTTGTTATGTGAAGTGTTCAACTATGATATTACTTAATATCTATTAATTTTCAGATTCATCTATTTCAGTACTTTTGTATTTAAATTTGCCATTTTGATCATCGATAGTGTCAAATAATGCAAAGGCCAAAATACCCATTTCTCAAAAAATATGATGGTTATGTGTATTACAAAAGAATTAATGATCACACATGTCTAATTATGTTTTCAGCACATACTATAAATAAGTATATATAAGGGGATGCGGAGTGTATGGTTTAGTTATGTGCTATCATCGCATTGTTTATTTTGTGTGTTGTATTGGATGTTTTGTTTGTTCATATTAGAGTTAATTTTTCATATAGAAGTTACCTAATTAGTGGTTTCTGTGTCTAGCATCTCATATTTCACTGAGTAGTTTTTTTTGTTACTCATCATTCTTGTTTTCTTTCAGTTGAGACAAACGAACATAAGTGATTGTTATCGGTTTGGTGCTTCAGAATGTTTTATTTTTATTTATTTTGAAATTTCCGCTTTATGATATTTTATTTTATTTATTAAAGTTATGGTGTTTAGAGACCATTTATGATGAATAATAAATGAAGAGGTTGATTGGAATGAGTTGTAACTTTATATTTTTTTGCTGTAGAATTATAGTTGTAGAATTTTTTGTTTTGGTTGTAGATAATTTAGCTGGAAGATTTAAAAAGATTTAATCATTTACATATAAATTTCTAAAGCAAAAGATAAGTGCTATAGGTTTAGTGTTTTCCACTGCCAAAACTAGACAAAAAGGAAAGAAAAATCAGTGGCTTTTAAAAATCTTTTAAAAGCATGATTAGAATTTTTTTTTGCTTTAGAAATAATTTGGACTGTGAAAAACTTCTACAGCACTTTTAAAGCACTTGCCAATCATCCCCGAAATTTTTTTTATTATTATTTATTTTATTATTTCCAAAAATACGGGTATTACATATATTCTCTATTGGAATTTCTCAAGCGGCGTCAAGTACCGATGGAGAATTCACGAAACCATCCAATGCAACACTCGCTTTATTTATATCCCAAACAAAACAAAAGAGTTTACTCTAAGAGCATCTCCAAAAAGACTCTCTATTATAGAGTTTGCAAAACTCTATATTTGAAGTTTGAAGGTGTTATACTCCAAAAGCAAAACTTCAAACCTAACTTTAAAACTATTTGTATTTTATATAATGTCCTTATATTTGTCATAACTAATTCAAATTTATAAAATTTTATAAATAACTATCATGTATAAAAATATTATAGAAATACCATTTGTTAAAATGTTACGCTAAAATATAAAACTATAAATAGAAATATATAATCAAATATTAAAGTACAAACAAAATACCACATTATATCATGTAACATTGTTGCTGTCTACTTCTAGTTTTAAAATATTTTAAAGATTATTTTGATGCTTTTTTTTTAAATAGAAAATTTAAATTTATAAAAATAATTTTGAATTATTTATGAAATAATAATTTTAAGGATTAAAATGATAAATAATAAATATTTAAGATTATTATAAATATGATGTGTAATTGTAAGGACCAAAATGTAAATAAAATATGAAACTTCAAATTTGAAGTTTTGAATAGTGACACTCTATATTTGAAGTTTCACTACTNATTATTATAAATATGATGTGTAATTGTAAGGACCAAAATGTAAATAAAATATGAAACTTCAAATTTGAAGTTTTGAATAGTGACACTCTATATTTGAAGTTTCACTACTCAAAACTTCAAATTTGAAGTTTTAGAGTTCCTTTTTGGAGAGACAAAAACTTCATATTTGAAGTTATAGAGTGTCTTTTGGAGATGCTCTAAACGTGACCAATATGTATCCCAAAACAAATAACAACAAGGAACGCTGTACAATTTCGCAAATAGAAATGAGAAAGCAAAATTAGACCGTCTGACAGCCACAAGCTTGTGTTTAAATTATTCAAGCAGAAAGCCCCACACAAAAAAAAAATAAAAAGAAGAAAAGGCAATCCCATTACTACGTTCTGTGTAGTTTATTATCAGGGGCGACAGTTTCACACTCCGATTCTTTCCCTTTTTTGGTAAAATGATCTCTGAACTTGCATATTGTCTCAAGACAAACTCGATAGATGTCTTGTGCACACGACGAGACAAGGCAAGGGCACTATGAGGTTGATTGGTAAAGCATTAGCATAAGCATTATGCTCTCTATTATCCAATCAACATTTGGCAAAGAAGCATTTAGAAAATCATTTACCAAATGCAAATGCTCTCCAAATGATCTTTGCTCAATGCTCTCATATAGAGCTTTTGGGAGAGCATTTGCATATAGAAAATATAAAACTTAATAATATTTATATATAATTAATTTAAATTTTTTTAAAAATATAAACAATATTTTTATAATTAAATATAAACTTATATTTTAAAAAATATAAATAATAATTATAATTAATTATTTTTAAAAGAACAATATTTCACATTTAAAATATAATATAATTTATATAATTACATATATCATTCATTATTTTTAATAACAAACATAACATAATATAATTTATATATTATCGATATAAACATATTATTTAGACACTAATAAATAAATTATATATTAACTTTTAAGATAATTTTATATATGAGTAATTTAGTGCTCTACCAATAAATAAATAATAATAATTTATATATAAATTATAATTAACTTATTAATTTATTTAATAATAATTATAAATTAATAATAATGAATTAAATTATAACTATAATTTTATATATGAGTAATATGTTATATCCAAAAAAAATAATATTTTTTTAAAAAATTAACTTTTTAAATATAATTTACATAATGAAAATCAATTATTTTTAATAAAATTATATATTATTAATATATATTATATATATATATATTATTTTAAAAGAAATATATTATTTTACTAACTATTATGACAATTTTAAAATTGTATACTGCTAATGCTCTACCAATCACTTTATTAAAAAATTTAATGAAAACATACAGCTTCTGTAGCATACTGCTTTTGCAGCATACTACTACTGCTTTATCATCTGCTGTACCAATCGAGACATATGTCTGTATGCCTTAAACCGCCTCCTGGCTCCTAGGAGTAGATAACAGCCACGGTTTGAAACGCAGGCTAAACAAAAGTTGTTTGTTACTCATTTTTTGTATAATAATATCCGAACTCCGGGCCGGGCCTGATTTAATGGGTTCCCATTCCAATTTTTTTTATAATTAAAAAACTATATATGAAAAAGTTATATAAAAATAAAAATCTTATGTACAGAAAAATATATAGATAATTCTTTTAAAATCCTATATATTAATAGATAAAAACATTTTTATGTATTTTCTAATTATTTTAAAAAAATTGGGGACTTTTATAATGTTGAGATTCCATTCAAATCTTTCTTATGAATGGGCTCAGTCTCAGCCCTGCTGTGAACTCAGAATTTTTTATATGCCATCGAATCTATTAATCTCTTTTGCTTTTACTTAGGCAAACTTATAGGGGCAAATGCTGTTACGAAAAGCCCAAACTAAAATATCTATATATATAAAGTATAGTTCCCTCCCTCCTTATCCCTCCACGTCACTAATTGCTTTCATCCCATTACGACACGTGGCCAACTCTCTATTAATTTATTTTTTTTTTCGTCTGGATTATTTTGGGCTTCACGAATGTATAATAGGCCTTAAAAAGTGTAAAGTTGAGTCTGATATTCACACACTTCATCTCCAAAAATTAGACCTTTGATTTCTTAGGGTTTCTTGGTGTTCATCATCCTCTTCTCTAACCGATCATGGAGTTTCTGGAAAATTGTGTGAGACGAGTATTAACGGCGAATCTCTGGAACGAGCTGCCGTTTGGGACGTTTCATCTGGATTCTTCTCCCTCTCGAAGACAATACGGAATTGTTACGTGTGCATCCAAGCACAATTCCTCATTCAATGTATCTCTCCTCTCTTCCAAGCGGTCAATCTCCAGCTATAAAAAAGGTAATCTTCCATCTGGTGAACATCATCTTTTCATTCTTTACTGAAAATTATAGTGCTACTGAAATCTCATGGCAGTTTTCTTATGTGATTTTTGAGTTTCTTTGTGATTTTGTATTGATTGTTGTTGTATATGAAAAAATAAAATTTAGAAAATTTTATGTCTTTCCGAAGGAAGCTGTTTAAATGCATTGTTGTTTGATGTATATGTGTTTAGAGATTCCAATATACACGTGTTTTGATTACACATTTGTGTCTCTGTGGATCTCTTAATCATTGAACGTGGCTGATTACATTCTCTATGCAGTGTCAAAGCTGAAGCATTTTGAACCAAGACATGTGTCACCACCAATTATAAAGAAATGTGACTGGGAAACTGAACACGCTGATCTGGATTTCTTCAAAGCTGCCATGATCGGAAAGGTTTGTATATTCGTCTGAAGACAAGTTTTGATCTTAACTATTTATAGTTTTGAGTATAGTATCATCATGTACAGTTCAATGGAACATAGTTTGTTCAATGGATTTCATTTGGCTAATTGGGAAGTTGGTGACATTTTCTTCAGGGTTCCTTTGGTGAGATTGTGAAGCTTATTGGAGCGAAACACTACTAGCAGTGAAACGTATTCTCCCGTCTCTGTCAGATGATGGACTGGTTATGTAAGCTGTTATCTCTCTCTTCTAATCATCAAATGAGTTTACTCAATGGATCTTAGCTGGTACCTTGGTACTGTGTCCTAAGATTATTTCTTACTCAATGGATTTTAGCAGGTATCTTGGTACTGTCCCCTAAGAATATTATGTTTCATAAGTTCCATACTTTCATACAATCATATAAGGTCGCCTCATGGGATAACCATTCTCGGGAGAAACCTTGCTCTCTCTCACTACAAAGCAAAGAATAAAACTTGAAGGTAATTTACATCATTATATATCTATATTCTAACTTAAATACTGAAAACAAAAACATGAATTGTACTGGTGTTTGGTCAATGTGATTAAAATAGATTTGATTAGCACAACAGATATAAATCACCCAAGGTTCATGTAGATATCAGCACAAGATTCAGGGATAGAGGAAGAAGAGAAACAATAGTGGAGCAAATCAGGTGTTCAAGAAAGTGAAAGAAAAAGCTAAGAAGATCAAGAACAGTCTTACCAAACTTGGTCATGATCATTACCACGATCATGATGTGTATATACAAAGAAGAATATGACAAGCAAGAATCAGAGTGGCACGGTGAGCCAGATTTGTTATTACCTTTGAGAAAGATATACGTGTTATGTTTTTGCGACATTGACGGAGTCTCTGTTTTCTGTCTGAATGGCACGGTGTATACTCACGGCAGCGTAACAGGTCAACCTGAGTCACTGAGTCATCCCGGTGAGCTAATTTTCTGGAACTGCCGGGGATCGTACACCAGGGAAAAATTTTCTTTCGTTGGTGACTTCAGATTATTCCAAACGTCTTGAACCTGAGCCACTACGAGATACCTTTTATGGACATGAGGACAAATACTTTGGAGAGGGACTTGAGAAGAGAGACGTTTCATCCTCTTAAACGGTACGACATGTCGGAGAGAGAATATAAGATCAAGGCTCATCAGATGCAAATAAACACTCACGTGTCTTTGTTATCCGCTACAAAGGATGTGATGTTTTTCTTAATCTCTTGGTGGATGTTGCAGGCAAACCTTTGTCAAAATTCTAAAGCCATTTATGAATTGGCTTGAAGAGGCAGAGGAACAAAAAGATTATGAAGACTTTTCTTCATTTTGCTCTTTAATTTAGTTTCTTATCTAAAACAAATAGTTTTAGAGCGTATCTGTCTTTTAACTCTTTGCTTTCTGATATTCTTTTGCTGCGTTCGACCTTTTAGTATATTTTGTCAATAAGTTTACCTTTCTAATGATTGTGTATCCTTTTTGTTACGAGTTCTCCATCTGACTGTTATATTGTGTTTAAAGTTTTCTGCTAACAAATTCATGCCACAGCCAATTATGCATCATATATGGTTATTCGATTGGTTCATATAAATTCTAGATCTGAGATTAATATGTATGTGCATATTAAAGAGGATAAAAATAATCATTGTTTTGTTAAAAACTTACAATGTGTGTAAATAAAATATATGTATATATAGTTGCGGGATTATATCTACATTATGTTGAATATGTCTTATATTGGTTGATTAAGAACATGTTGTCATATATATATATATACTAGTTATCTCCCGTGCATAAGCACGGGCATTATAATTTTTTCAGTTTACAATGGAAATGAATAATTTCTAAGATATAATTTACGATGAAAATAATATTATTTTCATGGTTGCATTTGTTGATAAAATTAGAAAAAAAAACTCTTTAGATCATACAATTGTCCAAGATGAAGGTTTTATATTTAAATCTTTCTCCGAAAACCAGGAAAAAACATTGCATATGAAGTACAGTTAAAATAATAGCCTTAATTTTACTATCAAGTTAGATCTTGATCTTTTTGTTTTCTCTAACCATGAATCTTTTTGTTTCCTCTAGCCCCTGAGTTTCTTAGACTCCATTTGTTGCTTTCTATCTCCATGTTTCCCCCTTTTTCTTCTCTTTTCTTTTCTATTCTTTTTCTTTTCTTCTTGTGGTGGTTTTGCATTTTAGGAGCTTTGTACGTGTGTTTTAAGTTGACACCATCTTAATCTCTTTTCCTGAAATATCACCACGATAACAAATAAACTCATTCCAGCAAATCGACAGTTGATTAGTCCTTTTTAATTATGTTTTTGACATTTTTGTTTGTAACGCATAACAACAATATATTGACATATTTTGTTTATTTTTTTCATTCTTTACCATGCAGTATATAGCTTTGAAGAATGTTTAGAAATGCAGGAAAAAAATTATATTTAAGTAGAAGAAAAAAGGTTCGTGAAAAAAAGTTATTTGAGCATAAAGCGTTTATGCGTTTTTATTTTTCATATACCTGGCCTGGACTTTTAAGCTTCATCTTCTGAGTCCTGACTTCGCCACTGGCAGTCCATAACCCCGCGGTATTTTCTTGTTTCATTGAAAGATTCTTTTGAAGATTATTGTGGTTCAACTTTGACCAAAAACTATATTGCGATTTGAATCCGGAACTGCAAACGGTTTCATCATTAGAACTGTCTAGTTTGAAGTCAAATTTTTAGAAAGATTTAACGGAATATTGCAAAGAATTTAAGAAATTACAATTTCTGAATGCAAGAAATGAATATAGATCGCATTCTGAGTTAAATTTAATCTAAAAGATTAGCAGTTTTTAGGATCGTGGGATCATGGGTACATTGTGGGAAATATTGTGAAGTTTTATTTTATAGAAGACAAAAAAAAAGAAAACACAAAACAGTTTTTTTGCAATTTTAATTTTTTTTTAATTTGTAAAGTATAATCCATTTGTCAAAATCTAATTGATCAAGTGACTTGTGCTTTAGTATATAAAGGATATATATATACTGCACGATTATCTATTGTGAATATTTTGATTATTATTTTACACTGAATTTTAATCTAGATTAATATTTTTAAATATAGTTAGACTGTAAGCTATTTATTTTGTTTATAGAAAAAATAATATATTAAATACTAATATTTCTCCTAAAAGTTTTAGTGTATAAAACTCATACAATTGGCTTTTACAACATTTATTTAACTATTCGTATAAAATTTGTTTTAGAAAAAAGAAATATGATTTAATTGTACTTAAAACAATGAATATATAAATTAGCTATACTTATTATGATTATAAAAATATTATAAGCACGAGAAATTACATTATAAGACATTAAATAACATATATAAAACTAATAAACAAAAACATAAATTATATAACAATGATAACCAAGTGAAATATACAATCCGCGCGTAGCGCGGACCAATCCTAGTAAAAAATATAAATAAGAGAGGATAGGGTTTGTAGGAAATTAGGGTTTAGGGAAAATGCTTAATTTGAGAGGTATTGCTGCATCAGGTTCTCTCCATTTCTGGAAGAGAGAGACGAGAATACTGGTGGCTCCGTTTTCTTCTTCTGCTGCTGACAACGCTGACAGGAAGATCACTACTCCTGCGTTTCCGACTGGAAACAAACCTCCTACTTCTGCTGATCATGCGAAGAGCTGTATTTTCCAGAAGCTGCAGTTTCTTATCACTGAGACCTTAGATTTTATCACAAGGGAGGAAGAGAAGAAGGGTGCTTCTGTCCCTACCAAAGATGATCTTGTCAATTGGGCAAAACAGCTTGAAAAAGACGGCAAAAATCATTATGCTCTCGAGGTTTTTATATTGATCATTCATCTATTTGGTTTGTTTTTTGTTTCTCCTTGAGATTTATTTGGTTTCATTTTATGTTTTTTTTTTTTGATAGATCTTTGAGTGGATGGATAAAAAGAAGATGGAATTTTCTCCTTCGGAGCTTGCCTTTTTCGTTGATCTCATTGCTCAGACTAAAGGCATAGATGCGGCTAAAGAATACTTCAATCAAGTAGAACCAGTATTTGACCGAACTAACACCCGTGCCAAGAATTGGCCTGCTTTCGCTAGTATTATGCTGAGGATGTGAGGCTGATGATAAAGGTAAAGTCTCACCCAAATGGGGAAATTAGTGGTGATTAGTTTTTGTGTTTTCATATGTGATCTTCATGTTTTGCTCCGAATAAGTTTCACAATCGTGTAGACTATTTTATATACGCTTTTGTGGCAGTTTACTTGGTCAGGAGTTTATTTAGTCTCAAGTATGCTTCTTTTGGACTCGACTGGCTGAGTGATTTTTTTTTTCATTCTGTTAGTATCCAACAAACCTTTGACCACCCACCATTTGATTTCTTTTTAGCTTGCAGTAGATGAGCGCAAGTGTAATGATTTTGAACAAGAGAATGTGCCGTGTGAACTAAATTTTGAATCAATCACTATAAAGTGAAATGTGTCAGTGGGACCAGTGAACAATACAAGAACTAAGCTAAGCTCGTTCTTAAATTAGGCTTGGAAGACTCGTTTCTTCCATCATATGCGGAGCTCACAGCATTTTTTATTATTTTTTTATAAGGACCGTACGCTTAAGATCCAGAGTTATTTATGCTCTTAAGGCCGAAACAAAACGTGATTCTGATCATGTTAGATAAGAGCAAAATATGATTACAAATAACATAAAACTGAAATTCATATATATAAAGAAATATTATTCGCAAAAGTATAAACTATGCAACGAAGAAAAGCAAAATTCATAGAGTACGGTCTTAAGATGCGCTGCGCTATCTCGTAAGTGGAAGACACCGACGTCTACCACCACAGACATATTTATAAGAGTTCTTGTTAATGCATTTGCGCACATTAATGACCAAATTTCGACGACACTCTGGACACTCGTAAGGATTAAATTCTTCCCTGTCAAAAGCCATTGTAACTTCAAGCTTCATTCCTCCCATGTAACTTCCATCGAGTCGTAAAGCCTTCCTATGATCTCTTTTTGAGATCAATGAAAGCAAATCTGTAATAAAAAAAAAAGAGTAAATATCTTGGGTATGGATTTAACTTTGAGTTGTCACAAATTGGAGGACAAAGTAACAAACCCTAACATAGTAAGGGTGTAACACTTGAAGGGAACAAACACCCTTGTGATCTCTCCACATGAACGAAAATGTTTAATCAAGGCCTTTTCGACATCATGATCCCTACGCATGGACGGATCATATCCTTTAACGAAAATGGTATGCTTATTATTTGGATGATGATCCCGTTCAAAAGGACACTTTCTTTTGACTGTAGACTTTTCTTTTGGGGTTTCTTTCTTTCACCTACACATGGATCAACTATAATGTGTCACGCAAGCTACAAAAAATAAAAACACTTATATGAAGCTTGACGAGCTGTAATGGAGAGGTTAGAGATTATTTATTCACAGCATGGGCCTCTTCTATGAAGGGAAACAGAGAACAGCGGAAAGAAGATAACTTTTCTGAATAATACTGAAGTTTATTAATTTCAAAACGGTAAAATTGACAAAATAACCCTCAACTTTCGAAAATAAGCCAAATAAAAATCACCAACTCACAAACAAGCCGTTTTAATCTTCAACTTCTAGTCAAACACGAATAAATCTCATACTTTCGTTGACCAAACCATTTTAATCTCGTCAAAATTCAACCGTTTAGTTCCGTTAGTTATATTTAACGGTTGACTTTTAATGAGCCTAAAATGGCTTGGTCAACGAAAGTATGAGATTTTTTTAACTTAATTTAAAAATTGAAGATTAAAATGGTACACTTATCTTAACTTAAAATTGCTATTTTGTTTATTTTTTTCAAAAAAAATTTAGTTTATCATATCAATTAGAATGACAAACTTAATAAAATATGTTCATATAAGCTTAGTTATAATATTTTTAAATGAATTAAAAACAAAAAAAAATTGTTTAGTAAAAAAATTGATTAAAAATATAATTATACTGTAAATCCATATATAAAATAAAATAATTAAGTGCTTATGTTCAAAAAAAATTAAGAATAAAAAAATTAAAGTTAAAGGTAAAACCCTAAACACATTATTGTTAAAAGTATAATCGCATATACTCAACAGAGGATGAAACAAGTGAAAATGAGGAACTCAAGTGCGTGAAAGGGATTTCCAGCAGTTGATGTATATAATTTCTTAATTCATTTTTAATATTATGTCCAAACATATTTGAACATATATTATTAAGTTAGTGATTACAATCGATATAAAAAATTATATTTTTCTGTTAATTAAAAAATAAATTTTAGTTAAGATATTTTCAAATAAGAAATTTTAATCTTCAATTTTTAAATTAAGTTTAAAAAAATCTCATACTTTCGTTGACCAAGCCATTTTATTATGTTTGTCATTCTAATTGATATGATAAACTACAATTTTTGTTGAAAAAAATAAACAAAAATAGCAATTTTTAAGTTAAGATAAGTGTACAATTTTAATCTTCGATTTTTAAATTAAGTTAAAAAAATCTAATACTTTCGTTGACCAAGCCATTTTAGGCTCATTAAAAGTCAACCGTTAAATATAACTGACGGAACTAAACGGTTGAATTTTGACGAGATTAAAATGACTTGGTCAACGAAAGTATGAGATTTATTCGTGTTTGACAAGAAGTTGAAGATTAAAACGGCTTGTTTGTGAGTTGGTGATTTATTTGGTTTATTTTCGAAAGTTGAGGGTTATTTTGTCAATTTTCCCATTTCAAAACTTAATCTTTACAACGGTTCTTCAGTCTTATATTTATACATAATACATCAGAGAACAAAGATCTAGTGACATCACAGCTGTCATGACAGCTCACTCTTCTTTATCCTGAAGAGAATCAAATCGGTTACGCAGAGGGAGCTGGTGAGCTGTTCAAACCGTACCTTTTGTCGTGATCTCTTTCTCTGTTTTGTTTGACTGACTTTACCGTTGTTGCAGGGATGTGAGGCTGAATGGGCTTTTTCTGAAGTGAGCCCAATGTCTTCTGATAACTTGGTCCATTGGGTTTAATATTCTATGGTTGCGGCCAGTCTACCAATTGTGGCATCATGAGCAGTCCTTGACGCTCCAACTTTTTTCACTGACATAGAAAAGAGGACATGAGATCAGTACAATAACAGGTAAATGATCTAACAAAAAAAAAATTCTAATATGTCACAAGTATATAGAAAGAATAAAGATAAAAGAAGGTTTTCGTAGAGTGACTCAACGATCTTCACAAGAATACAAACAACAATGAATTGTAAAATGAGAAGAGTAATCAGTATAATCTACAGTATATTTCAATTGAATTTTATAAATTTAACAGTTAAAAATACAATTTATCTAAATTTAAGTCTACATAATGATACATAGCTACTTCTACATTCAGTCCGACCAAGCTAAGATATTATCGTTTGCAACAAACAAGCTCATGAAACTGATTAGTCAATGATGTTTCCAAACAGGAGATGGATGTTGGAACTAGAGCTGGTCATGCTCATTCCACCTCCTTCCAAAGTTTGCGGTTTGGTCTAATCATCGTCGATTTCAACTATTTCATGCTCGTGGTAGTAACCTATTCAGGGACACATCAGCTGTTTGTTAGTTTCTTTTATGAATTCAATCATGAATCAACATCAGGACCTAATTTAGATTTGACTTAATTCAATCCTAACACATTTCTAAAGAAGGTAGAAAGACTAACATTGATCCATGCTTGGATGCAATCCTACCAATTGATGTTCTCCCCTTTAACCTTCTCCTTTGGTGATTTCTTTGATGGAAAAGAAATCCCAAAAACCTTCCTTAATCTCTCTTACTAATAATCAGTATTATTGTTGTGTGCTTTTTAAGATTCTTGTCTCTTACCGTACGTATCAATAATGCACGAGATCTTATATATATATATATATATATATATATATAAAGTTAAAAGGTTGTGTCATGTGTGTTAAGGAACACAACTCTTCCACGATTTTAACATAACCCTTTGTTATAATAACCGTACAACAACAACGCATACTCATACATATTATATATCACTATTAATACATATAATATATATGTATATAATCAAGAGATTAAAATCATTTATAAATAAAAGGTAAAGTAGGAGGGTTATCAATACACCCGGATTCTAATTCATTAATCGAAACCGATCCATCACGGTAACGCCTTTTATATTAGAATCTAAAAACATTAATATGAACTTGAACTTTATATTAAACCAATAGACATATAGGTCACATAGAATATGAAATATTCTTACATTCTCCCACTTGACCTTTATGTCGATTTAAAAGTTTAATAACTTTATTGTGCACTTTTATATCAAGTTCACTTGATCTTTATTAAAATTTTAATTGATCGAATCATGGCGGTTGTATGCCATTAAACGACATAGTCTCTTCCATGTATCACAAATCAATTCTAATTTTTAATCCTTAAATATGAGAAGAACCTTATTTCTCAAACCAACCATATGTTATCTACAAACCATAAATGTATACATATACTTTAATGATAACATAGTTAATAATCAGAAACATAACTTTACGTGAATTCTTTGTGTCAAATACATAATGAGCATCCCATAACTAAAAGAGCAAAGCCTTATCTATAATACCCATACGCTCTACATGGCCATTGAACGCCTTGGGTGGTAAACCTTTTGTTAGCGGATCCGCTACCATCATGTCTGTCCTTATGTGCTCAAATGACACTCTCCGTTTCTGAACTTCTTCTTTAACAGACAAGTACTTTAACTCCATGTGCTTAGCACCCTTCGAGTACTTGTCGTTCTTTGAAAAGAAGACAGCTGCGGAATTATCGCAGTGAATTCTCAGAGGCTTGGCTATAGTGTCGACAATCCGAAGCCCTGAGATAAAGTTCCGCAGCCATAATGCATGAATTGTGGCCTCAAAGCATGCCACAAATTCAGCCTCCATAGTGGAAGTAGCAATGACAGACTGCTTTCCACTCTTCCATGATATTGCTCCCTCAGCTAACAGGAACAAGTAACCAAACGTCGATTTTCTGCTATCAACGCATCCAGCATAGTCCGAATCTGAATATCCGATGACTTCTAGCTGATCGGATCTCCTATATGTAAGCATGTTCTCTTTGGTGCCTTGCAAGTACCTGAGAACCTTCTTTGCAGCTTTCCAGTGGTCCATTCCAGGGTTACTTTGATATCGACCCAACATTCCTACAGCAAAGCTGATATCGGGTCGAGTACATGTCTGAACATAGTTCAAACTCCCAACCACCGATGCATAGGGAATTCTTTCCATTTCTTTACGCTCCAATTCATTCTTAGGACATTGAATTTTACTGAACTTATCCCCCTTCTGAATTGGAGCTATTCCTGCAGAGCATTTTTCCATTCTATATCTCTCTAAGATCTTATTGATATATCCTTTTTGAGACAAACTTAACAATCCTTGTGATCTATCGCGAAAGATTTCTATCCCGATCACATAAGATGCCTCACCCATATCTTTCATTTCAAATTTCTTAGAGAGATACTTCTTTACATCATGTAACATACCCATGTCATTTGCAGCAAGCAAAATATCATCAATATATAGGACTAAAATCACAAACTTACTCCCACTAACCTTAATGTAGATACATCGATCAACAATGATCTCTACAAAACCATATGATGTGATGGTATCATTAAACTTTATATACCATTATCGAGAAGCTTGTTTTAGTCCATATATTGACTTTCTCAGCTTACACACCAAATTTTCTTTTCCTGCGGCCACGAAACCTTCAGGTTGGTCCATATATATTTCCTCCTCAAGGCCACCATTCAGAAAAGCGGTTTTCACATCCATCTGGTGAAGCTCAAGATCATAATGAGCCACCAAAGCCAAAACAATTCTAAGAGAATCCTTCTTTGAAACAGGAGAGAATGTCTCTTTATAGTCAATGCCATCTTTCTGAGTGAAACCTTTAGCAACAAGGCGAGACTTGCGTCTCTGAGGTTTACCTTTCGAGTCGCGTTTAGTCTTATAGACCCATTTGCAACCAACGGTTTTGAAACCATCGGGCAACTCTACTAAGTCCCATACAT